TGTCACAGAATGGGAGAAAATATTGCAAATCATATATCTGATAAGGGATTAAAAATGGGCAAGGGACTTGAATAGACATTTCCCCAAAGACATACAAATGGCCAATAAGCACATGAAACGATGCTCAGCATCATTAATCATTAGGGAAATAAAAATCAAAACCAGCATGAGATACCACCTCACATCCATTAGGATGGCTGTTATCAAAAAATAACAAGTGTTGGTGAGAATGTGGAGAAATTGGAACCTTTGTGCACTGCTGGTGGGGATATGAAATGGTGCAGCTGCTGTGGAAAACAGTATGGCAGTTCCTCAAGAAATTACAGAATCACTACATGATCCACCACTTCTGGGTATGTAACCAAAAGAACTGAAAGGAGGAACTTGAAGAGAGAGTTGTACACCAGTGTTCACAGCAGCATTATTCACAAGAGCCAAAAGATAGAAACAAACCAAATGTCCACTGATAGATGAGTGGATGAGCAAAACGTGGTCCATCCACACAGTGGAATATTAGCCTTAAAAAAGGAAATTTTAACACATGCCACAAGCTGGCTGGACCTTGAGGACATTATACTTAGTGAAATAAGCCAGTCACAAAAAGGCATCCTGTGTGATTCCACTCACATGAGGTCCCTAAAGGAGTCAAACTCACAGAGACAGAAAATGGAATGGCAGGTGCCAGGGGTTGGGCGAGGTGGATGGGGAGTCATTGTTTAATGAGGACAGAGTTTCAGTTTGGGAAGACAAAAAAGTTCTGGAGATGGATGGTGGTGATGTTTGCACAACAGTGTGAATGTGCTGAATGCCACTATACTGTACACTTAAAATGGGTTAAATTTTATGTTACATATATTTTAACATACATATGCACATGCACACACACAGAACATGTAAGGATCCCCATCTTTACCCATTTATCTACCAGGTATGTAGGAGGCAGACATGGGCCAGCTTCCAGAGCCTCTAGTCTAGAGAGGGTCAGACACGGATCAAATCATCATATCCACTTGCTCACATGCACACTCACACTCTCGTGTACCCAGGAGGATGCACAGTCTACACTTAAATATTATGGAGAAGTGCAGTGAACTTCGAGCTGGCCCTGGGCCCACATCCATTGGGTGGTGTCAGGTGTGAGGAGGGCACACACTGCCCAGCCCCTCCAGTCCCCACCTTCTAGGGCAGCAGGGCAGCCCCTGCACGTGGGGGGCCTCAGTCAGAGGAATGCATGTGACAGGGGGACCCGGCAGGGACTCCACAGCAGCAAGGAGAGAGCAACTCTGCCTGAAGCCCCACCCCTCCCCAGGGAGGAGTAACAACCACCATCTCCCTGTGCCCAGCGGTGCCCACTCCCCACTTCTCTGGCCCCAGACCCACCTGCTCTGCTCATTGACCAGGCTCACTTAGACTGGGACAGGTGATTCCCCCAGCTGGCTAAGTTGACTTCAGCAGTGACCAGGGTTGTGTCAACAGGTCAAACTGTGCTGATTATTGTGGGATTATTTTCCTCTTTGGGAAGACCTCAAGGTTTGAAGCTGGGCGAGAACTCTGGGTGTTTTGAACAGGTTCTTCTTTTTCCCATACGTCAAATTAGGAGCTGGGTCATCAACAGACTGCTCAAATGGCAAGAGAGGAAGTGCGTGAGAGCAGGTGACCAGGGGACAAGGGACAGGGGGTGACGGATGGAGGACAAGGGAAGGAGGGACAAGGGATGAGGGATGGGGAGGAGAGATGGGGATGAGGGATGGGAGATGGGGTGGGGGGGAGGGAGGATGAGGGACTGGGGACAAGGGACCAGGCAGTGGGTGCTTTGTCTGCTGCATCCCACAAACCTAACTCTAAGAGGCCCAGGGTACAGCTTTAGCGTGGAACAACGTGATGAGCGAAAAGCTGCCCAAGTGTGTGTTTCCCCAGCGACTTCCTAGGGCACTGTGCTGGTCACAACGTGAAGCCCCCCTCTCTCCAGTTTCTCTGCTGCTCCTGTAAATTCCATACTGGCATGTCCTTGGGGTCAGGACTCCTCTAAGGTGCGACCACACTGCCCTCGTGTGGCCAACTGACTGCTCTAGGGGCTGCAGTTGGCTCTCAGCACAGGCCTCCATGTTTTCTGCTAAGACCACAAAACGGCAGCTAGGAGGGGCGCCAGGGCAACCAAGAGAAGGTGTCCGTACCTTCTTGCAGACCCTGCCTGGGCAGCTGGGCTGGGCTGGGCTGGGGAAGGCTTGCTCCTGGCTCTGGTAGCCAGGCCTCCCCAGCAGGATCCCCAAGCTACCCAAGCCCACCTGCCACCTTCCAGAGAGTGTGGCCCATCCCCCTCCCATCAGAGCCCTGAGTGGCTGCCCAATCCCCTGCCCTCATCACTGTCTCCCAAGCCACCCACTCCTCAATGTGCCTCCACTGGTCGAAACCCCTGACTCCACATGAGAGGCTCTATGCCACATACTAGAGTGCCTGTACCACATGCCTGAGAGTATCTGCGCCACACGCCTGAGTGTATCCATAACACAGACCTGAGTATGTCTGCGCCACAACCTGAGAGTATCTGTACCACGGGCCTGAGAGTACCTGCGCCACAGGCCTGAGTGTGTGTATACCACAGGTCTGAGAGTACCTGCGCCACAGGCCTGAGTGTGTGTATACCACGGGTCTGAGAGTACCTGCGCCACAGGCCTGAGTGTGTGTATACCACGGGTCTGAGAGTACCTGCGCCACAGGCCTGAGTGCGTGTATACCACGGGTCTGAGAGTACCTGTGCCACAGGCCTGAGTGTGTGTATACCACGGGCCTGAGAGTACCTGCGCCACAGGCCTGAGTGTGTATACCACGGGCCTGAGAGTACCTGTGCCACAGGCCTGAGTGTGTATACCACGGGCCTGAGAGTACCTGTGCCACAGGCCTGAGTGTGTGTATACCACAGGTCTGAGAGCACCTGCGCCACAGGCCTGAGTGTGTCTCTACCACGGGCCTGAGAGTACCTGCGCTACAGACCTGAGTGTGTGTCTACCACGGGTCTGAGAGCACCTGTGCCACAGGCCTGTGTGTGTGTATACCACAGGCCTGAGTGTGTATACCATGGGCCTTAGAGTACCTGTGCCACAGGCCTGAGTGTGTATACCACGGGCCTTAGAGTACCTGCGCCACAGACCTGAGTGTGTCTCTACCACGGGCCTGAGAGAGTACCTGCGCCACAGGCCTGAGTGTGTGTCTACCACGGGCCTGAGAGTACCTGCGCCACAGGCCTGAGTGTGTGTCTACCACGGGCCTGAGAGTACCTGCGCCACAGGCCTGAGTGTGTGTCTACCACGGGCCTGAGAGTACCTGAGTGTGTGTATACCACAGGCTTGAGAATATCTGTGTCACATGTCCACGTGTCCGTCTTCCATAACCCTGTGAAGTGCTGAGAAGCCCACTGTTTTCACCCAACAACCCTACCTGCTAATGAAGGAAGAGCTCAACTCATCCCAAATCTGACCTTTTCTTTGAGAATTTCTGCGTTTCACCTTTTCTTTACTTTCCTGAACCAGGCAATGCAGAGCTAACCACACATTTACACAATTCCTCACTGCGGCTGATACAGTGTGAAAGAATAGGCCTTCTAGTGTTTGCTGTCAGGCACTGAACAATCCACAGAGACTAAGCACCCCTTCTGTACTTGGGACCAGGTGCCTCACCAAGGCCATGAGCTGCCATTGCTCTGAGATCAGCTCGAGAGGGCTCCAGCCTCCAGGGGATCCAGGATGAATCCAGGAATCAAGGGGCTACAGATGCAGGGTAGGTGGGGTGAGGTACATGGACTGGGAAAGCCAGCATGTGGAGGACGGGGGCTCCCTTGTGCAAAGGGGCAAAGAGCACAGTGAGACTGGCTGGGTAACCATGTCTCCTGCCTTCACTCTGAGCTTGGGATCTTTGCAGGCCTGCGGTCGAGGGAGAAAGAGCAGCATCTTCCAGAGGCACTTTTAGCAGCCATGGGTGCAGACAAGGGACAGGAAGGCAGCAGAGGTTACTGGGTGGCTTGGGGGTGAGGGTGTGGGGTTTACGAGCTTGAAAACGTTGAGTTCAAGATGTCCGTGATAACCCAGGGGGAAGTCACTTGTGTGCCTGGATGTGTGGGCCTGGGTCTGAGGGCCTCTCAGAGTCTGGAGCCTGGGGCCTGGGTCTGAGGCCTCATTGAGCCTAAAGCTTGGGGCCTGGGGTGTAAAGACCTCTTGGAGCTGGGAATTCGGAGTTTGGGGTTGAGGCTGACCTCACTGGGGTAAAACTTGGGGTCATGTGCTGGTGCTGTATCATGAGCGTGTGGACATCCAGAGAGGCATCCAACATGGAAAGGGGTGGAAATCCTCAGAGACCCCCCCATGGGGGCCAGTCTTTGAGCCCCACAGATTCTTTACCCCAACCCGACATACTGTGATCAGTGATGTTCTAATCACAGACACAAGATAAGAAACCTACAGCCCTCAGGCCCCCGTCCACAACCAGTACAGGCCCCCAACAACAGACCCCTATGGACACCAATTTCTGATGCTCCAGACCCATTTATAAATCGCTGACACCCATCCAGAACCCAATGTCCTCACAACCCCTGCCCAAAATTCTGGTTTTGGGAAGCACACTTAAAAGGAGGGAGGCGGCAAACAGCCTAAAGTGATCCCATGAGGGGCAGGGCACAGGGCCACCCTGGGGCTGGCTATGCACTGAGAGTGGTGATGTGGGTGAGCACACAGGCTGGCTGTGCCACTCACTCTACTTTCATGTTTAAAAACCGTAATTTACAGACCACCACAGGGCACAGAGTTGAATCACTGGTACATGATAGAAACCCACATACTTCTAAACCAAATTTGGATTTGTATGTCCAAAGAAATTTTAAAAAATTTAAACTAACTCCTGTAACAGTGGACAGATGGTGTCTTTGGACTTCCATAAGCAGAGCTGTGTGGACACCCCAGAAGGTGTCCCAGGCTCCTTGGAGCTCCCACATTAGCATGTCTGAGACAGACTGAGACAAGGGGCACGTGTGCTTTATTGCTTACATTGCATATCCAAATGAATACAATAAACCCCTTTTTAAAAAAGGCACATGAAAAGCTCTCTGTGTAAGTTTCATATTATTTTAAAATTCCTATTGGCTAATAAAAGTATTTGCACTACAGAACTAGAGCTATCTAGAAAAGCACATGATGCATTTTCTGCATGCAGGATACGTGAAACATTATTCTATCCGACTTCATGGCACAATTAAACAGTCACCAAATCAAATGTCTCTATCTGAATAATGATTTAACTATTGTTACAATCGCAAAACATTAATCTGCTTATCCACATATGTACAGTTGGATTCCCAAATATTATATAAAATCTAAAGGAAGAACAGTATCTAACCGTTTCTGTTCCATTTAATTAAAGGTTAAAAGATTTGGCATTTGAAAATGTCTTTTTTTCCGTAAGTTACGTTGCTATTTGCCAAAGGCCAGGGTTATACGATGCTGAAGACCATGGAAAGATACTGTTCATATGAGACCTGAATCCAGCCATCCTGATCCGTATCGTAGCGTCTGAATATATCCGTCAACCTCTGGGAAAAAAACAACAGGCATTTAGATCTTCATAGTTACTAAACAGAAGGAACAAAACGTACTGGGTAAAGACAGTGAGGAACCCAACTTCAGAAGCAGTCCTGTCTGCACATCCCCTAACTCTGACCAAGACCAGAGCAGGGAGGTGTGGGTCGGGTGTCCTTGGACACTCGCCAAGTCAGGCCTGTCCACCAGGGAGGACTCTGGGGCCAGGTGGGGCAGGGTAGGGTGAGAGGTCAGGGCATGGGCTGCAGGCCCAGCTCAGCTACACACCTCAGCCCTGGATCCTGGCCAAGCCCTCTGGCTCCAGGCCCTGGTTTCCCCAGGGGGCCGGTGGTGAACCTGGCACCTCCCTTCCCACTCTAAGACTGGCCTCACAGGGGTTCTCACTAACAATCACCTCTGTTCTGGCCATGTGCTGCTCAGGACACAGGGAAACCAGCCCCCGGTCAGGCTCCTCCCTTGGACCCCATCCCCCTAGAAGGTGAGGGCCCAGCGCCCAGCCCAGGCTCTGGGTGGGGCCCAGCCACAGAGCGAGGAAGGGCAGGTCTCCCTGCGCCAGCTCAGGGTTCTCTGTCCCGCCCCACCTCCTCTTCTGTCTCCAGTAGCCACACCAGGGCTCCATCTGAATCTGTTCAGTCTGACTATCCAGCTCAGGTCGGGAGCAGAGGGTGGTCACCTGCACTCAACAGCAGGGAGGGTGAGGTAAGCGCCACTGCAGGGGACAGGCGCTGGCAACCCTAACAGGCTCTGAAGAATCTTAAGAGGAAACAGGCAGAACGCAATTCCCAGAGACAGAAGAAAACAAGGCCCCAGGGTCATCTTGACCTCGGAGGCTGGCCACCTGCAGAGGGGCAGAGAGCAAGGCTGGAGCCTGGCTTCAGGGCTGTACCCTCCTGGGCTGGGACAGGTTAAACGGCTAACAATAAACCGGGCCCGACACAGCTGACCGTCCACTCAGGTGTCAGCCAGGAGCATCCCAACATTGTGAAACAAACCACAGAGCCACCAGGAGGGAACTCTGGCTTGAACAACAATGAGCAATTCTTTATACTTTAACTGTACTTTCTGAAGATTTCTACACATTTCCCTGTCCTTCTGTAAAAAATGATTTTCTAAAAGCCTTTCTGGAAAAGGCAGATCAAAGAAAACATTTTTGAGGATTTTTCACTTGTGGCCTGCAGCTTTTTTCTTTTAGATTCCCCATATCCATCCAGCATTTAGGGCCACTCTTGAAGGGGGGTGGGACCTGGAGCTGGCAGTCAGGCCACGGGAGGGACAGAGCCCAGCCTGGAGGCAGTGGCTGGCCTGTCCTCAGCCCACAGGGGTCAGAGGCGCTGGGCAAGCTTCTTGTGGGACCCGGATCCCATGCCCAGGTGCTGAGAGCCTGCCCACCGACCTCTGCTTTGGTGGAAATGCAAGGAGCACGAGTTTACTTAGGAGACATAACCTCAAGTGAAAATCCTAACCCTGGGGCAATTTGATGCAGTTCACAGTGAGTTTTCACCGCACTTTTTCCCAAGTGTTGAGACAACACTGCCAACACGCAATCCAGCTGGCCGCCCCCAGCCTGAGGGGCAGAGGCCCTCCCCACTTCCAAGATCTGAAGGGTCACCGTGAACACTGTGGCATGAAAGACAGGGACCGATCTGCCCAGACGCACCAGTAAGAAATCACGATGACTGAAGCTAGCAGGCCAGTCAGAGGGACTTCACATTTACTGATCTATTGTTTTAACAAAAAGAAACCCACCTGAGAATGTTTTCTAAAATTCCAAATTACACTTAAAAACCTCATGCTGTTCACATCTCCCAGTGGATTCTAAACCCGATAAGATGTAACTTCAACCTGGATTCAAACGGCAAAGACTTATCTTTTGGAGAAAAGTTCTACTGAACTATTTATGGAAAACATTTCCTTTCCATAAACAGAATCTGCTTCAGAAAAACGGAGGGGGGGAGACATGGAGGTAATTTAAGGGTTTATCAAGTCACTGCATTTCTAACGCTTAAATCCATGGAACTTGGATCCCCACCTGGAACAGGAGCAGGGGCCTGCGTGGGAACAGCCAAGGCGAGTCCGATCCCTCCTGCCCTCCACCTTAAGTGGGCGTCTCTGAGCAGGCTCCCTACGTTCTGCACTTGGTTCCCTTGGGGGTGAACTCATGAGGGTGTGGGACAGACATCAAAGAAAAGGCTGCAGGGACACGTGAAGTGCAGGCGTCATTGTGATTCACACGCTCCGCCAGACGCTGGTTAGGAACGGCTCCAACACCCCAACGAGACCCGTGAGCTCGGAAGCCAGTTCATGTCTTTGGAGCTTACCTCACACACGAAGGCAGGGCACAGGGAAGCTCACAATGGAAAATTTACCCTTCTCCTCAGAACAGAAACACAAGAAAAACAGCAGAGTACACATGTCAACAGCCCACGGGATACTGCAAAACCACCACCTCTTCCGAATGGCCTGCCCTTTCCAAGGGTAGCAAGAGCACTACCATTCACAGATCGGCTTAACAGGAGAACTCACCACTTCTCCAAAGACGAGACTAACTTGTTGAAGCCCCAGAAGCTAATTTCACACGTGTCTGACTCCATTAAATCACCAACTCCAGAATGGGGTTTCCCTTTCCCTCCGCTCTCATGGCTACTCCCTCCCTGTGCTGCAGCCCAGCTTGCTGAGCACCCTCAGGGATCCCCCGGTCACCTGCAAGACGATGCAGCCCTGGATGAAGTCGTCAAAGGCGATCTGCCCCCGTCCTTGTCTGTCAAACTTTCGAATGAGGATGTCGTGAAACTGGTCAGAGAGCCGGTACCCTTGAAGAGGGAAATGAGACTAAAGAGCGGGCCAGGAGAGTGGACATTTGTGTCAACACCCACCTTCTCCCTCCAAAAGACCCCACAGCCTCTTCTAACAGCTGATAACAAATGACCCAGGGCTGGATGGGAAATACGGGTGCACATTCCTGCAAATCATTCTGCAATAACTTCTCATCTCCAACACCGCGAAGCGACTGAAAGACCGGCAGCCTCTTCCTGAAGGATGAGGAGAAACTCGGAGGCCACTGCTGCACTAAGAGCTGAAGGTCGGTTCATGAACTCAAGAGTTGGCATCAGTCATACTCACTCTGAAGTGCGGCACCACCACAGACCAGCCCGGCTCACTTTCTTAAGTGCAGTGGAGTCACCACTTTAAAAAGACCTTTACTGATGAATTTTATTGCATTTATTAACCTAGATGTGAAAGTTCTGAATAACTTGGCTGTCCCGGATTACTCATGACTAGAGAATGCTTTAAAAGATAAACCTTACTGAGGCTTCCAATTAAAGCATAAACTTAAGGAGACAGGAGATTAATTGACAGATGGTCTCCCACGTAAATCAGCACACTGACACTAGGAAATTGAAAATTACAAGGAGGAAGGCAGCCTCACAAAGTTCAAAACCACTGAAGGTCATCAAACGTTACCGCAGAGTGGCCTATTCCACTTTCAATTCACTGAACATGTGTCGTAAAGGGAGGGAGACAGCTCTGAAGACGTGGGGATGCACGGCCACGTGTCTGTGGGACACCCCCGAGGCCGCGCTACACAAGGATACCTACTTCCTTCCCCCATGATCCCACTACCTGTGTGACCGTGGCATCCTTACTTATTCAGGAGACAAGATCCAGGTGCCCAAATATTTTTACTGGTTTTCAGTCTTGTTGCAATCTTTGCAAGGACATGCACACCTATTGTCTGAGTGAATGTCACAGTTAATTCCCTGTATGAGCACTTGACCACTTTATGAAAAAGAGGCAAACATGCAAACACACGACAGCACCTTCCAGAGTGGTCAGCACGCTCTCTGTGTCTCTGCAACTTAAATCCAGTGCCCCCTTCCCTGCAAGCTGAGTAGAAGACATGACCCCCGACTTAGTCAGGAAAAAAAGACAGCAGTCCCAGACGGGCGCCAGTCCTCTTGGCCTCATTAGTCTCACCTCCTCACACCCAGCACCTGTGCCGCGGGGCAGCTAAGAGACAGGTGCAGGCTGGTGGGGACTGAGCTTGGGGCATGGTGACGGCACAGTGCCTGTCCAGAGTGTAGACAAGGGGGTTATGCGGCAGTGCCCGTGCAGGGTATAGATGGGGGGACATGAAGCAGTGCCCGAGCAGGGTGTAGACGGGGGGATCCAGGTTCCTAGCTAGTCCTCCGCAGCCCAGCCAGGCCTCCAGCTCCTTCCCGCCCCAGGACTGCTCTCCATGGAGGCCTCCCACTAGTCCCCTCACTCAAGGACAGAGCAAGGTCAGCTGCACTCCCAGTTCCACTTAGAGAACCTGAGCTCAACGTCCTGCCCAGATCTTGACCCACGCCTGGCAAGCTCAGCACACAAACTTCCTGTGGAGTCCCAGAGCCTCCTGCTGATGCTACGTACAAGTTCACGAGGCAAGAAAGGAAGGGGAGGGGGAGGAAAGACAGCTGTAGAGAATGTGCCAAGAAAACAATGGGGGGTGGGCAGAGGCCACGTTAGTAACCACTAGAACCAAAGTGTACTTCACATTATTAAAACTTGACATACCTACAATATAGTAGATTATAATCTAACTTTTCTTTTTTTTCCTAGAGGGCATCTGTAAGCACCCTTTTAAAGCAAAACATAGAAGGGGTTTTGTAACATGGGCCCAGTGGACACAAGGCTGAGTGAAAGTGCCCCAAATTAGAATCCCAGTGTAAGTACTACAAGCCCTGACAAGCCCCACAACCCTCCAGTTTCCTCTGTAGATGGAAAATCCCACCTTCCTCTCAGACCCACCCACAGCATCAGAGGCCAGCTGCTCTACTTTGGAAGGCACCATGTGAACACCCCTCACAGCACGGCACACGCAGGCCTGGCAGGCATGCGGCACCCACACACACACACACATGCTGACACGCACTTGAGAATGGGAACGCACTCTCCAGCACTCTAGCTGAGGCACGGGATTTGCACTGCCGCTCACAGACTTGTCGCCTGTGTGCACTTCATCATCTTTCTGTGCACTGTGACATATCACGAAATATAAGCTGCCTGCAGCTCTTCATTTTCACTCACTTTAAACCGTTTCAAAAGCCTCATTCTCAATGTGCTTATGGCGTCATTCCATTTCACAAAAGATAAATGATTGCATAGCCCTTATCTCATTTTGGATAAAAACTGCATAAAAGTCTCCATGTCAAATAGAAGCCTTCGAGGTATAGACAATATCAAAATATAAATCTGTATGATGCAAATAAAAATTTCACATACACTGGGTTAGAAATCAGTAAGTTGAACAAAGTACAACACACTGAAGTGGCACTTGGGCTCCAAAATGAAATACGCTACACAACCGAGACAAGTGAGTTACCGAAACCTGAGAGCGCCTGCTTGAGCTCGTTCTTGTCAATCATCCCAGAATTGTCCCGGTCGTAGGTGCGAAAGACGTTCTGCCAGTCTGTGATGTACTTCCAGACGCCAGTGAACTCGCTGAAGTTCACGCCGGCCTTGTTCTCCCGGTCAAACATAGCTGAGAAATAAAGAACGTGGGTAGCATACGGCCAATGGAATCTCGATGTCAATCACGGCAGTCACCTCCCCAGCACACGCTGGTTCCCTGGGGACCCAGCTGGGTGCTCAACTAGCGAACCCCTAGGTGTAGCTAATAAATGTTCATTTGCTGAATGGGGGGCTGGATGGCTCTGCTGGGGTGGAGCAGGGGACTGCCACCCAGCCTCAGCCCGAGTCACGTTAAACAGATCTGAGATAGACCGTGAAAGGAAAGCACGAGCAACACTCGCTGGTAGAGCCATAATAACACTACTTTACACTGCAGGAGGTTCTACAAGAGCAGGAGCACTGGAGGAGCCGGAAGAGACCGAGCTGCAGAAGGCAAGCGGCCTGCCCGACTCCCCCAACTCCTGGTTCTGGGCCCAGAACATGGGTCTAACTCCCAGACCACCCCTTCATCCTGAGGACCGATGTCCTCCAGCAGGGGCTCCGAGGAGGCCTCTGGCAAGGGAGACAGTGCCAACGAGAGAAAGGCTCCACTGGCTCCAGAGTTTTTCTTAGTAAGAGCTGCTTTTCATTTAAAAAATAAGCCAAAATCCAGCCTCAAATACAAAAGAACCTGCAACCACATTTACATGTAATTGCAAAATGGCTAAAAAATACATAAAAACTCAGTCTGAAGTATGACCACAGAGGAAGTGATAAATTCTTCAGTCTCTTTCAGGGAAAGAGATGGATGTTAACACTGGAGTACAAGTGCTCTTGGTTTGGCAAGAAGCATATCACGATTCAACAAAATGTGACCTAATGAAAATCGGTGAGAAACTGAGCATTGATGCCAACAGTCACGCAGGGCATGGACTGCATGTGCAACGAGCTGGCCCTACATGTAGCTGAGGTCTTCAGAATTGGAAACTGAAAGTGAAGAATCCGTGAGGGACGCGAGGGCAGAAGGAGAGGGCCCACACCCATTTAACCAGAAGAAACAGGGTAGGAAGACACCCCGTACCCGAGCAGGATGGAAAAGCAGCCACACCTGCCTGCCTGCACAGGTAGGACGATGGTGCCTTTACTTACATATGATCGACCTGACAGTCACGGGATTAAATGGAGTCCACGTGCCTGAAAACAACAGGAATTACAGTAAGAGAAAATCATGTACACAGGAAACTAAATTCCTAATCTCTAACACTAGACGCCAATGAAAGGAATTAATTTGCTTTTAACGTAAAGACGCTGGAGCCACGGTTCTCAGCAGGGGACACTCAGTTCTGAGTGCTGGGACTACTGTGAGGGGCCACAAGGATTTCACAGTCAGGGTCCAGTCCTGCAGCATGCAGGAGTCCCTTGGGTCCTGCCAGACACTCAAACAGTTCATAATCTGAGCCTGGAAGCTCATCTTTGTTTACTATATAAACAAGAAATGGTTTTATATTATCTTAATATACACTGAATTTTCCAGGAATGCAACCACCAGCTAAATTGAGAACACAGCACCTAGTTTTGTTAGGAATGTCACCAATTACCATTTCAGAAAATCCTACCACCAGGACCAACACTGCTTCTGGTGCTGGAGTCCCCGAGACACCCAGCGTTCACCTGCATAGCTGCTGTGGTCACTCTACGCACAGGTGCGCACATCAAATCACCTGGTCTTCCCTCAGTAATCGTGCCAAAGCATACTGAACGCATGCCATGGAACTTTCTCCTAAAATTACAGTCTGGGCATTATACTATTTTCCTTGAAATTGTGAAAACATAGGTTATATTATTCTATGATTCACTTCAGAATAGAAATGGGGATGTTACCAAATATTTGTTATAAAGGGGCTTGTTGAATCTGATGGATGTGAGAGCTTAGAGCCTGATGAATTGTGATGTTCGTCAGATATCTTTAATGCCCGAGAATCAGTTTTCAGAGCGATTTCTACCTTTACTGCTTTCATAGTCACTAAAAACAAAGTAATTTTTTTTAACGTGGAGGGAAAGCAGTGTCTCTGCCCATCCTCACCTTTCTTCTTTACACAAAACCGTTTCAGCTCTGAGTGGCACCCAGAGACCATCCCCGGACTTCACAGAAAGTAACACTTTTACACTCATGTGTGAAGCTCAGTGGTTCCTCCTGTGCCATGGGCTGGGGGGTCTGAAGGGCACCACCCCTTACATCCACACCACTGGACCTCCCACAGCAACTCCCAAGAGCCACACCCACACACTTCTCTCAGCCTCAGGTGTGGCCCCTCCAAACACACGCACACCCCTCACCCCGACTCCTACGTCTCTTTTAAGCCCCAGAAGAACTGCTTTCTCAGAAGTTCCACACTCCCCAGGCCCCAAGTTTAATAAATCTGCTCCACCAGTGCACCTTCTAACTTCCCCTATGCAACTTCTGCAACCGTACAACTCAGTGAAGGCTGGTCTTCCTGCAAACACAGGGGCACAGCTGTCCCCGTGCAGGGCACACATCAGCACTGCACGAGCATCCTTGTGCAGGATTTACAGACGTTTGTAGGGAGGGTGGGCAGGAGTATGCATATAGAGGCATTAGGAAAAGTCAGTATTATTGAAACCAGTACAAAAACTATGTTACAGAGAACTCAAAAGAAAGAGGAAAATCCTAAACACATAAGAGTATGGCCTCTTCATTTCTGTTTTTCCCTCCCTCAGTCTCTGCTGCTGCATGCACTGAACTAGAGTTTTCACAGAAGAGAAGCCGCCACTGACGAGCAGCCCGAGGAACTAGACACCCCCACTGGAGTCTTCCTTCCACGTCTGGTACAACCTAAGTGACCACATGGAGAGTCGTCCATGAATGTTCGCTCAACTGATCTGACTGTGCAGAGCTGGAGCAACATCAGCAATGAGACCTCAGCCTCTGAAAGTGGAGGCGGCACCCACAGTCTGTCCCCACTGAGCAGAAGGGCACTAGGCTGTCTCAGCACACGACTTGGCCGAAGAACTTTTAAAGAAAGGCAATACAAGTAAAAGAGTTAAATATTGCTGCAAACACAGGTCCTTCTGTGAAGGCCAGGTACCACCTGGAGAGGCATACGTGGGTGCACAGAGACGGTGCGTCCCTGCGAGGTGTGGCCCAGAGGGAACCGGTGGCCATGCTGGAGCACTCTGAGGACTGCAGGGGTCCCAGGCTCAGGAGAGCAGGAGGTCGCCCTGGGCTGAGTCAAGGATGGAGAGAGGCTGCTCCTCTAGCAGGAGACCACAGGCTTCTTGCAGAGCTGTTGAGTGGCCGAAGGCGGAGGCAGGCTCCTGGGACCTCCACTCATCCTTTTTGTCACCCAAATGGGGCTGGATTCTCCAGAGAAACCAAGGGAAAATAACAACAGCCAGCAGTTAATTGACCATCGTGTGCCAGGTCCTGTCGCCTGGTTCCCAGACTAAACATCAAAGCCTAACAGCCCACAATGAAGCAAAACGCCACACAGGCAGACATTTAATATCTCAGTTACATGTACCGCGAGTTAAACGCATGAGTGTCAAGCCTGGAAATCTAAACAGTTTGCATAGGAGTTTTCTGTAAGGAAGCTCTGCAGCGCAGTAAGCGGGGTCTACCAGAGCCGCCTGCAGGCAGAGACACCCCACACAGGCAGGTTTCCCACGAGCCCGACTTCCAGCGGCCCTCTGTCCCAGTCCCAGTGTCACTCATGCCCATCTCCTCCCCCATATCCAACATGTCCAGGACCACTCACCTGGCAAAGGATTTCCTGTCAGACGTTTATTAGAAACACACAGTCACTGTACGTGCAAGTCTTGCCTTAATTTCATTTCAAAGAACCAAAGAAAATAGAAACAAACACCATTCTCCACGTAAGCTGAGCACACAGCTTGTTTCACCTGTCACGGGAACAGTGCTGAGGCTCGAAGAAGGAACAGTGAGTGACACTGGCAGAAGGGACAAGTGCAGCCCCGCAAAGCAGGTGGGCACCAGCAGGAGGGAGCAGCACCATCCCACTCAGCATACAAAGGACTTGGGGACTTCCATCTGCCTCCCTTCCTGGGGGCGGGGGAACCCCTCTCTGCTCTGCAGTAATACGGGCTGTTTTTATCCAGAGTGTTCTTTCTTGAAATGACGCTCTGTTAACCACAAACTTAAATTCTGGTGGACAGAGACTTTAGCGAGCGGTAAGACTTCACAACACCCAGCACCTGGACAACTGAAATAGCTAACTTCTTGGACTCTTCTGGGAGAAAAGGAATCAGACCTTTTTACATCATCAGTGATCACTTAACTGCATCAGACCTGGGACTGGCCTTCTGGGCTCTTCTGCCAGAGAGGAGCTGCGTGAGAAGAGGTGGAAGCAGCCCTGTGGGGCTCGGGCCAGGACACCGGGATTCAGGGCGTTTTGCCAGGCCTTGCTGCATTTTCAGGTTCAGCAGAATCCCGAGCTTCACCTGTTACCTTCGATTATGGCTTCAAACGGCCACGACTGGACACATGGCCTTTCTGAAAAGCAACCTGAGTAGTGATCAACAGCCTTAACAATGCCTATACCCTCTGATCTGATAAATGCCACTTCTAGAAACTTATAAAATTTTGAGTCAAATGAAATCAGAAACAATCTAAATTTCCACTAGTGAAACATGGTAAATTCACTCCTGGTAGATACAGACCAAGGGGATCTAGAGGAAACGAGCCTGGCTCGAGGCAAAAGGGATCTAAACTTCTAGCTGCCCTATTTTCACGTGGAAGAAACTGAGACCAGAAATGGTGTGATCTGCCCAAGGTCGTGGAGTAACTCGTCACCAAAGCCAGGTCCACTGAGTCCCAACCTTCCTTTGTTCCATCTAAAACTCTAGCTGCGCAAGTTTCTGGGAAGAGCAGACGTGACAGGCTGGACCGGGGTCCCCAAGACCACCCTCAGACTGGATGACCCGCTACTCACAACACTCAGATCACTGTTACAGCAAAAGGACACAGTCGAGTCAGTAGATGGAGATGGCACTGGGAGAAGTCCGGGGAAACCAGGCACATTTCCCAGAGTCCCCTCCCTGTAGAGTCACACAGGGTGCATTTAATCTTCCTGGATGACTAACGTCGACACACACAAAGTGTCAGCAACCAGGGAAGTGCCCCTGAGCCTGGGAGTCCGGGGTTTTTCTTGGGGGTCAGTCATGGAAGCTCCAGACGCCCAGAGGGAAAGCAGGTGTTTGCCAAAATCATACTGTTAGTATGAACTATCCAGACAAAGAGGTACAGTGAGACTTGAAGCCCTCGGTGGGCAAAACACTCTCGTCAGTCAGAACATTCCAGGAGGCAGCCAGTCATCAGACAGGCCCTTGGGCGACGTGCAGGCTCTGAGCAGCACAGGCCTGCTGGGTCGGCCCTCTCCCACACACAGGCAGAGGGAAGCTGAAGGCAAATCTCATACTCCCTCTGCTCCATCACCAGGGGCAACACACAAGGGGCTGTGGGAGGGACAGCAATGTGACTGAAATAACAGTCTGCAGGGAACTCTGCTCACATGGTCTGATTTCTCCCATTTCTTCTTAATATGAAAACTCTATTTTGATAAAAATACCTTAAAAAGAACATATGAATTATTTTTTAAAGAACAGCTAAAAAACACCTCCTCAAAATACATCAATATGTATGTTAAGGCAAACCCACAGAAGCACAAAAAAGACTTGAGCAAAATTAATGTCCCATAATTCCAACAAATAACATGAAAGTAAAAAGAAAAATATAAAGTGACCTCACTCAAGACGGTTTGTGACATGTTATTTGAAAAGGCAAGAGAACAGTCCTCTTCTGTCTTTCTCCTACCTGTGGACCACATGCCTCCCCGAGAGAAGGCATTTTTAGAAGCTCTCCTACAGAAACAAGTCTTGTAAAGCACTCAGTGTACCGGGCCCACAAGTACTTTTCCAGGAAGGTGTAACTAGATTTTTTTTTTTTTTTTTAAGATTTTTTCCCTTTTTCTCCCCAAAGCCCCCCGGTACATAGTTGTATATTCTTCGTTGTGGGTCTTTCTAGTTGAGGCATGTGGGATGCTGCCTCAGCGTGGTCTGATGAGCAGTGCCATGTGTGCGCCCAGGATTCGAACCAATGAAACACTGGGCCACCTGCAGCAGAGCGCATGAACTTAACCACTCGGCCACCGGGCCAGACCCTGTAACTAGATTTTAACAGCGAGTACTCAGGCACAGATTTAACTGAAGTGAGAAACCATGCTATTTTGTAACTTCAGTTTTTCCATCAGTAATAGACTAATCAATTAAACCAATTTCTTAAAAGAGTCTAACATTCTAGTTCTAATAGGCAAGCAGAAATCCATTCCTGGAAGAAAAATCAGAAGTCAAAATAACTTGAACTGGGGCCAGCCCGGTGGTGTAGTGCTTAAGTATGTGCCTCTGCTTCAGCACCCCAGGGTTCATGAGTTTGGATCCCAGGTGCCGACCTACACACTGCTCATTAAGCCATGCTGTGGCAGCATCCCACATACAAAACAGAGGAAGACTGGCACAGATGATAGCTCAGGGACAATCTTCCTCACCAAAAATAAATAAATAACTTCAACCGTGTGAGCTATAGGAATCCAACAAGCAGACGGAAGAGAACTGACACCTGTCCATCCAGTGACCTCCCTGGACACACAACACAACTGTGAACAAGAGCGCCAGCTTGGCCTTCCTTCATGCAACTGACAGTTTAGTAGCCAGACAGCTACAAAAATGATGACAAGAGAACAAGGAGAAAGGACACCACCAAAGGAAAAGGCAAATGCCACGGAGGTTCAAAGGCAGAGGCAGTGCACATCCCTCTAGGAAGAAAGGGATGTGAGACGCGGGGCAGGACGTCACCTTGCAGTGAGGAAAGGCAGGAGGAGCACAGGAGCCACGGCACCCGAAGCACTCGGTGGAGCCAACGTGAAGACACAGGTGGGAAACACGGGCCTCAGAAGTGCCCACCTGCGAGGAGCAGACCTGAAGCAGAACACGAGCAAAGGTGCTGCGGTGTACGACACACACCTGGGTTCCAGTGCAGGCCTGCAACCTGAGAGCTGTGACCATAATTCATCCAGCAAAGCGCTGGTAACGCCATCCCCTACTCTGAGAGCTGTGGAGAAAACTAGAAATCTGTGCTCTAATAACCCACCTCACTGCAGAAAGAACGCAAGTTATGAAGATGTTCATGGTACAGCAAAACAAAGTTTAATTATGTCGGATAGGGGAGAAAAGCAGGCGGGTGAGAGAAGCAAGTAAGGAGCCTAAGACCAGGCCAGGAAAACGCACTTTGTAAAATTCCAAATCCTACGCCTGGCGAGGAGGAATTACACACTTATGCATTACGTTTTTCAGCAGCTAATCTGAAGAGGTAAATGTAACTGGTTAAAAGATTCAGGGTACAAACACAACATTACACAACAGCCACCACACTCCAGAAGAAGCAAGATGGCCCTCCCCGGAGCTGCCCGCAGCCACCCCCTCGGGGTTAACAGTGACGACTGCTCTCACCTGTCCCCAGCAGAGCTGAGGGAATCCTGCAGAGCATTTCAGAAAAGTGGCTCTACAAGGGCACTGTGACATGATCCCAGGACACACTTATTAGCTGGGTTAGACCAGCACTGACTTCAGAGTATCTTAGGAATGGGGAACTGAACATCCTCTAGGCAATTCTGTTAAAATCCTCTCTCGAGCAGGCTCCTGGTGGATACCTAGTAGCAGCTGAGTTCAAGATTATGTTCTGGCAGAGCGAAGAGTCATATGCTCCAATGACCAGCTGAACCAGGGGCAGCACTGACAACCCTCCTGAAAATGTAGGAGCCTAAACCCTTCGGTCAGAGTAGAAAGTCCCCAGGCCACACCCTCAGGGCTCAAACAGCAATGCTGACTGAGAGATACTGCTTGTCAAGTGCCCAGCATGGTGTCCACATGGACTGGACGCTCTGTAGGTGGCCACCACCACCATCATCGCTGTCATGAGGTACAGAAAAGCCATCAAAGACTTGACCAGTTCCCCGGCCAACAACAGTGCCAGCAACAATACTACTTACTACTCACCTCAGCCAAGAAGAACAAGCCCTCGCTATGTGCCAGGCTCCCACCAAACACTCCACACGCATCCCTCAATTTACCCTCCCAGTGGCCGTGGGGACCCTGAGAAAGGGCAAGTCCCCGCCCAAGGTCACAGCCTGGAACCGGCAGAGCTGGGACTTGAGGCCAGGCAGACTGACCCCAGCACCCCGGAGCCTCCCAGGGTGGACAGACTGTCCTGCTATTTGACCGTCACTCCCAGGCGAGCAGGTTTCAAACAAACTCTAAACCCGGGCAGCATGCTCGAAACTTCAAGCTAGGACAAAAGGGAGACGTCCAAATGGATCAGGAATCGGGCCCCACTCACTGGGAGGAACTCAGAAGGGACACCTCTGCAGCATTACCCTGAGGGCCGCTCTCATTGAAGGGCCAACCACTCCCGCAGCTGAAATATTCAACGAATGATCTGAAGAAACATCCATTTTAGTCAACAAAGACAAAGTTTTAGGCCAGGATTTGCCAGACTGCAGCCTGTTGGATCCCAGGTGCTCCTGACACCTTCCTAGTAACCCTGTCTTCTCCTTCTCCTGAGGGTAACTCAAGCACTGGAGACTCAAACAAAAAATGAAAAGTGTTTAATAATGATCAGAGAAGAATCAAGAAGGCATAATCATCAAGGCAGAAGTAATGGAATTTCTTAACTTCCTGAAAATACTCTACATAAATACACATGATGTCATACACTAATATCTGTGGCCCACAAACATTAAATACTGGAAAACAAAGTCAGTGGTATCTACTGTTCTATAAAGCAAATGTATTAACCTATAAACACAAACCCTCAGCTTTATGCAGATCATCAGGCAATAAATAAACTAACACTGGATCCCTGGTACGTGCCAATAGTGACGGGGCACACGAGCTCTCCTTTCACCCCACATCCAGCTCCGTGAGGTGGCGTCAGCATCCTTGGTCCGTCTCACTCCCTGGTCCAGTCTTCCCACTACATCACACTGCTTCCCACCAAAAAAGATAAGCCTTTCAACATCTTCATAACTTCTTAAAATCAATCCCTTTTCTACTTTAACTGGCACGCCTCTGGAAAAGTAAGCTACAAATCTAAGCATCAAGGAAGACAGTGGCGGGGCTGGACCAGTGGTGCAGCGGTTAGGTTCGCCAGTGTGGAACCACGCACCGCTTGTCAAGCCATGTTGTGGCAGGCGTCCCACACACAAAGTAGAGGAAGATGGGCATGGATGTTTCCTCGGGGACAGGCTTCCTCAGTAAAAAGAGGAGGATTGGTGGCAGATGTTAGCTCAGGGCTAATCTTCCTCAAAAGAAAAAAAAGACAGTGGTGTCTGAGAGATTAAAAAATGGGCAACAGAATGAGGTACTTAATGAAATAAGAGGTCTCTAAGAGTACTTTCACAGATTAATCATGCTCAAACTGACAAGAACACAACTCCATGGAGAGCCCCCAATGCACCACCATGCAAGAGTTGTAATCCTTTCTTCCCTGTCTCAATGCCTGGTACCCCACTGATAAGACCACCTCCCCACAATCTGGCTGCCAGCGCCTCCGAGATCCCAAGTGGTTCCCCATCGGTGCTTCTGGGACTTGATGAGCCTCTCCAGGGGAGTTACAAGAATGCAGTTACCTAAGAACTCAGCGATCTTCAACACACCTGAGAGTGTCTGCTGTACAAAGATAAACTTCCCATCCTTCCCTAAACTGACCCGAGCCCCCATGCTCAAGAAGCACTTCCCTGTGCCCATCCACGTGGCTGCTCCACCAGCTCAGCCAGGTACTCGGAGCAGCACTAATGGCCACACTTGGCAAAATAAATCAGAAGCACTTCCACACACGCCAGTAATACTAATTAGGTCTTCATGACTCCTTTGTGCTTGGAAAACAAGTTCAAGAAAGAGGTTATGTACTACAGATGGGTCAGGCTTGCAGTTCAGAAGTCCTGACGGCCAGGCCAGGTCCTACTCACCATTGGATAGTGCTTGCTGAAGCTCGTTGTCCGAGATCACCCCGCTCCTGTCTTTATCAACCCTACAAAATCAAGACCCGTTAACCTGGTAGTTAAAAGTGCAGGAAAAGCAAAACACATCAGGCACAACCACCTAACCCTTGTCAATCCTAGGTTAGCTCTGGCATGTTCCTTCCAGGGGACCTTCTCCTTTGTTCTGCCAGAAAGTCTGGCTCCCTCGTTAGCTGAGAGGAAGGAAACACCTGAGCTCCTGAACGCATCCTAAGCACTGCAACTGCCAAGCCCAAGCTGGTTCTCCCCAGAGAGGGACAGGCTCCCCCTCCTCAAGCCCTTCTCTCCGTCCCCTCCCCGGCCTGTCTGAATCCCACCTGCACCAGCTTCCCTCTTCCCCACCAAAAGGAAAAGATCCTCTCAGACAATTAGATCATTCTCCGACCACTAATCACTCAAGTTTCCATCATTCATTCACTGGGAGGACGCCTAGGGACAGAAGGCACTGCGGGAGCAGTCACCAGCGGCAGCCTTGCGCTTCCCGCAGCTTCCTTTCTGGCCGCGGGCATTTCAGCAACGCCGAGCAGAGCAGGATCCCGGACCCTCCCGGGCAGCAAGAACCCGCCCCGCACCAGCCGGCACTCGGCTGTAGGAGGCGGGACTGGAGGCCGCGACCCCCGGGCGTCTGCAGCGGGCTCGGCCTCTCCGCCCTAGGGAAGAGAGTAGGGGACCAGGGAGGAGGCCGGGGGGAGCGGCTGGAGCAGACGGGGGGCGGCGCCGCGGAGCAGGAGGCCGAGGAGAGCGGAGAACGGTGCGGGGATCGGCCAGGAGGGCCGCATGGGGAGGCGGAGAGGAGGCCGGGGGGTCGGAACGGAGGCTGGGGGAAAGGGATGGGAGGGGCACGGGGCAGGAGGCCGGGAGGAGGGAGGCGGCGCGGAGACAGGGAGAGACGCCGGCAGGCATGCGGCAGGAGGCGGGGGGGAGGGGGACACGGGGCAGGAGGCCAGAGAGAGGCTGGGAGAAAGGGGAGGCCGGAGGGGGAGGTCAGGTGGGGGAAAGGGGGACACGGGGCAGAAGGCCAGAGGAGGGAAAGGCCGGAGGAGGAGACGAGGAGGAGGTCGGGGGGGTGGTAAGGGAAAGGGGGACAAGGAGCAGGAGGCCGGGAGGAGGGCGAGGCCAGAGGAGGACGTCCGGTAGGGTGAGGTCAGGTGCGGGGAAAGGACGGCACGGGGCAGGAGGCCGGAGGAGAAGGTCGAGGGGGAGGTCAAGTCGGGGGAAAAGGGGTCACAGGGTAGGAGGCCGGGGAGAGGCCAGAGGGAGATGGAACCGAGACCGGGGACAGGACGGGGAAGCGGCGGAGCCCCGGCGGCGCCGGGCCACACCTCTGGAAGACGTTCCACAGGAAGCTCTGGTCCGGCAGGGCCGCGCCCGCCGCAGGGCCGGCCCCGGGGCCCGGGCGGTACGGATACGCGGCCATGGGCCGAGGCACCGCTGGGCTGAGGAGCGGGCGGCACGGAGACACCTCGGGGCGGCTCCACTTCCGCCTCCACCGGGCCGGCCTGGCGCTCACGCCACTTCCGGGGACGCAGGAAGTGCGTGTCCCCCGAGGCGTCACGGGGCGGAGCACGGGAAATCCCCTCGCGGCCCCGTTGCCAAGCAACGCCCGGGGCGCCCGGGCCCACTGTCTGGGGCTGGGGTCGGGGCCCGCGCCCGTGAGTGCGCGCCCCGGCCGCCTGCAGATTCGCGGGGCGGGGGCTCACTCCGACGCATTTAATTCCTGCGTGGAGAGTCGTGGGAGCAGGTGTGGTGGAGGGGACGGACGCGCAGTGGCGGTCCCGACGCTCCTCGGGAGTTTTCCGCACACGCACGCACGCATCGCGGCCCCACTGCGTCCCTCCCCCCGCCCTTGGCCCCGCCCCCTCCTGGCGCTGACGCCGCGGCCCCTCTGGCCGCACAGGCCCCGCACGCGACGGCGCTGTCACGCGCCCCCCCGCGGTGGCCGTGGCGCAGTGCGAGCGTCGTGGCCGGAGCCCCAGGCCCGGGCGACCGGCTCCCCGCGGGCCTACGCCCCCTCGTGCTGGACGCCGTTCCCGCCGCTCGGGTGTTAGCCCTGGTTCCGGACCCGCCTCGGGCCGCCCCGGGTGTCGGGGCACGAGCCCGAGGTGTCCGCCCGTGGACGGCCCGTCGCGGCTCCGGCCGCTGCCGCCGCGACGCGCGAGGGCCCTGGGAAATCCCCGGGAGCGCGGCCCCCGGGCCCGGCGACGACGTGGCTTCCCTCGACGGCAGACTCGGCCGGGTCTCGTCTCCTCGGTCCGCGTCACTCGGTTAACAGCCCTTTCTAGGACTTTCCGTAGCGCCGTGACCTGTGGGTCTCTTGGCGCGGCGCGTCCGGGACGCGAGCGGGACGCGGACGGCGGCCCCGGTCGCGCCTGGGCCCGGAACGCCCGCTGGAGCCGGCGCGCGCTGAAGCGCGGAGCAGCCGGGGGCGCCCGGCGTCCGAAGGCTCCCTTCGCGTGGCTCCGAGGCCGCGCCTGCCTGGGGGCCGCCCGGCCCGTCTGCCCCTCCTCTCCGCAGCGGCAAGGCTGACTCCCGGAGGGGAGCGGCTCTTCTTGCGCAACGCGGGTTTAAGGAAAGGTCCCGCCCGCGCACACCGGCACCAACGCACAAACGGGTGCGTCTGCAGACCCATCGGAGGCGGCCTGGCGCCCTCGCAGACGGGGCAGCCAGGGCCTCCCGCGCCGCGGCCCTGCCTCCGAGGGCCTCCGGGCTGCGAGGCCGGGCTCAAGCCTTGCGTCCCCCGTGGCCTGGAGCCCTGTCCCCATGTTAGACGGACAGTAACCGGAGACAGCCCAACGCCGAGACAGAAGCGGAGCACCTGCTGCCCGCCCCCTGCTGTGTAAAGCACTGATGTGATTGCTACCCTCTCCTTGCCTGTCTGTGGATTCAGTTCCCTCTAACCGTGTCTGTTCTAAGAAACGTTTAGACGGTGCTCCTGGGTGAGAAGAGAAAGTGAAAGACAACACTACTTTCTTCTCTGCATCAACGCCATCACGTCATGTATCGATTATTATTGGGCCAGTCTTTCCTTTGGTCTCATTTCTCTGAACTAACTGAAAACGCCTTTATTATCCTTAGACTTTCCCTTAACATTGGCTCTTTCTGTGTGCCAGCAGTCCACCCTCTTGTTTTTCTGTCTCTGGCATGTTAGGCAGCAGATGACCCAGGCAGTCTCGTGCTGCCTTCTGCCTCGGTGCTTATGCATGTGAATACAGGCACACATTTTCTATTATCTACCCTAACAGCTTTTCCTCTGGAGCTGCAACTGCGATTCATGACTTGTGTCTTACTTTCTCATCAGGACCTCTGTCCGCTGCTCTATGACATCTGCACACTGGAAACCTTCCCTTTTCAGTCACTTTCCCCTTAAGTCTAGGGGACAGAGCCAACTGCCCAGCCTTCCCCTTCCTTTCCAGCCAACACTTGTATCAGAATTCCCTATGAAAGAAAATGACCCATCACTTTTTATTTAACTCAGACTTCTGAGTAGTGCTCAATTTATCGAATATATGCTGTTTAGAATGAGATCCTAGCGAATGTCTCCATTAGCACTGGCTGACAGAACTTTCTGCAATAATGGATTTATTCTGTATGTGCTGTCCAATGTGGTAGCCACTTGCCACATGGCTACTGAGCACTTGAAATGGATCAAGGTGACTGGGGGACAGAATTTTAAATTTCTGTAATTTTAATGAACTGAAATGTAAACAGGCATGTGGCTATCGCTATAGACAGTGCAAGTATCCATGTATCTTACTTTTTTGCTCCTTTTGACCAACATTGGAAATTATCCACATCTTCTCTCTGGGCAGTATTCTATTTCCTTTTTATCTTGACCCTTATTTTATTACTTCTCTGGTTTGTCAATTCTCCTAATACAAGTGGGTTCATTTAGAAACCTTGAGCACTTTACAAAACATTTCCAGTTTGAAATACTGCCTATGGCTCACTAACTAGCAGAGTCCCATAGAAACTTACATTTCTAAGACTCCTCACTCCTCAGTAGTTTTCTTGGTCTCAGAATATTGATGAAAATAGTTTGACGGTTTGTTTTTGGTTCAGAAGTAGCAGACAGACATAAGTTCTTTCTTTAAACCAAATCGGCCCTTCTGTTCTCATCCTACTGGGCTTCAGGGGCACCTGTGCTAGTGCTAGCTTTTAATTCATTGTCCTGACACTTAAATGTTGCCAGAATACCCATATTAATACTTCCACTTAGAATGCTTTGGCATATACTTCCTTATTACACCTGCTGGTTGGGATGAAGCTGTCTGAGGTTGTCAGTCATCTTTCCACCTGTTACTTTCTCCTGAAAATTACCTCCTTCATGTTTGCTGGACCACATTATTCCATGCAGGTGGTTTTCAAAGTGTAGTCCCTGGATACATTAGAAATGCAAATTCTCGAGCGCAACCCCAGGACCTCCTGAATCAGAAGTTCTGGGGTGGGCCGGGGAATTCTCAAACAATCCCAGGTCATTCTGATGCACATGCAAGTTCAAGAACCACTGCATTAGGGATTGTGAAATGGCAATCTTTAAATTCTATCATTCCTTACTCATTTACCTGCAGGAATTCCTCTGTAAAGAACTTTCCCTGATCAAGCAGGTTATCCTGAATTGCAATTTGTAGAGAAAAGGCAGGATAATCATTTCATTATTCTCCTCTAACTGTCTGTTTTCAGTGTCAGGAGTTAGTGCCATAGTGACTTCTAAGTGAGACCAATTATATGCTTTTTGGCTTTTTAAAAAAGTATCATCATGAATTCAGTTTTTAATATATTCAATCTGCTCCAATCAGATGCGGCCATGGTTTGCTGGCTCTCATGCGCTTTATGATATAGTTCCAGTGGTCTTTGATGGTTTCCTTGCTTTCTGGCTCAGAAAACTGTTTCAGGCTCATCTTGCACATTTCCTCCCCCAGCCCAGGAATCACAATTCTTCAAGGAAAACTGGTTTCTTTCAGCAGGGTTGGGTTTGCAGAGACCCCAATCCAGGTGCTTGAGTGTCCACTGCGACTGGACCAGAGCTAGGAAATGTATATTTTTTAAAAGAACAAAGAAAAGAATGAATTTACACATATTTCTATTCCAAATTTAGTATTACAGGGTTTTACCTAACTCCGATTTCGAGTCTTTATTCTTTCTCAGAAAAACCTTAGTTTTAACATTAACCTAATTAGTTATTAGCTTTAACTCACACTACACAATTTCAAACAATGAATATCAATATTACTACCAATAATGCACTTACTGATTGAAATTTAGGATTTCCAGTGGCCCCATTTGTCTTTAGACTATAGTTCACTAAATTGTAGGCTCAAAGTACTATGTTTTAATGCCACTTTCCCATGTGACTGTCACAGTTGGATTTGCAGTTGGGTTGCAGACACTTGATGCCACATGGCCAGGCACACTCCCTCAGCACTCATGAGACCTGTAGCTTCTTGCCCCAAGTACCTGTGACTCTGCCTGAGGGCTTTGGCATAGAAGTGTGGCCTGGAGCAGGTACAAGAGCAGCACAGGGCAGGCAGAAGAGACGGAGCAGTTTGGAAGGGCCAAGAGGTGACAACCCGGATACAGCCGTCAACCCACAAGACACACGAGTCCCCTTGCTCCTGAACTATGGGTTCAGCAGCATGGACGAATCTCAGAATCATCATGCTGAGTAAGAGAAGCCAAATAAAACCAAAGTACATGCTGTATGATTCCACTTATATAAAGTGTAGAGAATGAAAACAAATCTTCAAGAGAAAGTAGGTCACTGGTTCCCTGCAGACTAGTGTGGAGAAAGGGGCAGGAGGAAACTTGGCAGTGGTGAGCATGTTCACCATCATCTGCTGATTATACCTCAAAAAAAGCTGTTAAAAATGCCAACAACAAAAAAAAGAAAAGCTATACTAAGATAAAACTTCTCATTATCTGACTGGTGACCATCCAAAAGCTTGCCATCATTACTTACTTTGAAAAGCTGCGGGAAACAGGGACTCTTGTACCTTGCTGGTGGGAATGCAGAATGTCGCAGGCCTATGGAACAGAATTTGGCAACATCTAACAAAATGACAAGTGCATTTACCCTTTGACCCAGCAATTCTACTTCTAGGACTCCGCCTCAAAGAAGCTGGCAAAGAAAACAACTTCACACACAGAGTTATTCATTGTGGCATTTGCAATATTGGAACAAGAACGTCTATCACTCGGGGAGAAGGTACGTTCATGCAGTGGAGTTCTCGGCACCATAGGAAGGAATGAGGAAGACTGCTGACGACAAGGAATGACCTCCAGGGCATATAGGCAAGGTGCACAACACTCTATAATATAAGGCAAGTATTTATTTGCTTTCTTTTTTCTTAAAACACTCACTAGAAAGATAAAGTGGTTGCTATGGAACAGAGAGAGGAGAGGATGCAGTGAAAATTAAGGAGGTGAGCTCTGAATTCAATGGACTTGGAAATCATGTAAATGTTTTACACATTAATAAACTTTAAATTTTTAAAGACAATCCCTAAAATTGAAAAACAGAGTCTGAAATGAACGAACCAAATTGCCTTGGATTGGATTCTACAGAAGCGGACCCTGAGACAAGAATTTGGAAGGTGATCTTGAGCAGCATCTGAAAGGAAGGGGGAAGGAAGAAATCCATGTACAACCACATCTGCCTCGTTTAGTATTTAGTTACTTGAATACTCCAGGACACATGTTCACATGTTAAACCATCTGCCTCGTTTAGTATTTAGTTACTTGAGTACTCCAGGACACATGTTCACATATTAAACCATCTGCCTCGTTTAGTATTTAGTTACTTGAGTACTCCAGGACACATGTTCACATGTTAAACCATCTGCCTCGTTTAGTATTTAGTTACTTGAGTACTCCAGGACACATGTTCACATATTAAACCATCTGCTTCGTTTAGTATTTAGTTACTTGAGTACTCCAGGACACATGTTCACATGTTAAACCATCTGCTTACTCAGAATAAGGAGGAACTGTTTCTTCATTTGCTGTCAGGCACCAGAATTCATTTTTATTTAAATATATACAACAAAATTTCTAGATTTCAATTTAACAGAATAAAAAGAAAATCACATTTTATATTTCAGTCAACAAATATGCCTAACGTCAAACACTGTAAGATTTTAAATGGACTTGAGAGCAAATTAGTAACTTACATGTTATTTAAGAATCGTGCCCAGTTTTATTATTTCACAAGAATGAAGCAAGGGATAAAGGTAAGCTTAACATTTCCTGGCTGTTTTTTACTGGCAAGGGGCTGGCCACTGGGTAGACAATCTCTGTTCACATGGCACTCCTTGTTCACGAGAGTACAGAATTTTAAAAAGCCGTCATGATATGAATACACACATGAGCTATGATACATAATTCCACGGGGGGTCAGCTCCGTTCCCATCAGTAGGAGCGAATGGCCGGGGGCACTGTGGCGCAGTCAGCCTCGTTTAAAGTCCTGTCGATTACGGGTCTGTATTCCAGCGAGACCTTAAAAACGGTCAGTGGTAAGTTAGAACACAGAA